ACCCCTACTTTATTACTTTTTCTCTCCAAAGGAAAAGTAACTCTAATGCGTTGTGATCTTGATATTTTCATGTATTAAACAACAAGATAAGTGTTCAATCCTATGTTCTTAGGGATCCCGAGATCAAACTTGCCTCGAGAATTTTATGCACACTAATTATTATCAATATGGGAGAATATTATCTTCAGATACCGCATTGATAATTCTAAAAACAAAAAGATATCGATTCAATTTATTTTAGGAAAAGTTTATATAATCTGTCAACCTTATACTATAGACGTGAGGTGCATTTGAAAAATCCACTGGAAAATGTTGTTCTAATGCTGAAAGAATCCTCTAATTGATCATCTCAACCTCAAGATATAGGGATGTACAAAAAGAGATTTCAAGTCCTAAAAATAATGCATCTTGTAATATATTATCTAGATCGTTGGTTGTCAAGATTTTCAAATATTTATATATTACTTGGTATAGACTATTTTTTAATTTTAAAATTTAAAATTAGGGGTGGAAATAAATCTTCAGGTCATCCTAAAATTCTCAGCATTAGACTTGCATCTTCGAATGGAGCTCAAAGGGCCGTCTAATTTAAATATGCAAACCTCAATCTTGAAAGCTTTCAATACTTCCCCTACTCTATATAAGTTATATACTCCCCCTATTTAACTGCTCAATTTAAATGGATGACTGAGATAAACCCAATCACAGTGTCACACCTAACACTATTTTATTTTTAATTTTTTTTTACAAAACATTTTGACACCAAAATTTGGGCGTCCACTCCTAGAACTCACAATTGCAAAAAATATTAAAAACTATTCCCAATAAGATAAATAACCAAAATACCCCTAAAGTTTCAGGGGTGTTTTGGTCTTTTTATTTTATTGGAAATGTTTTTTAATAATTTTTGAGGTGTGTCCCATTGAGATAATATCATGTACCAAATTAAATATTCATATGATTTGTCGAAAAATTTAAAAATGAAATACTTTGAGGCGTTAGATCTAGATCAAATGGTCAGTAGCTCACTTGATCTAAATTGGATGGTTGGATGGGGGAAGTATGTAACTTATATACAGTAAAAGAAGTATAGAAAGCTTTCCCTATATTATATCGGATTATCTATATAGAGACCATTTATCTTTTGTACGTAGATGTCACAATCATTTGCACTCATTAGATGTCAAATTGGATAGCTTGGGGAGGAGAGTCACGAAGTCTGATATTTTTTTTTTTGAAACTTTGTGTTTATTCTGTAACACTTTTACAACCACCCATTTTAAAATTTAAGAGACAAGAATAATTGTGGCCCATTTATAAAATATAAATGATCTCTTTGAAGACAATCCCATATTATATACCTCCAACAAATTACTTTTAAGACCCCCATTACTCCCACCACCCAAAACCTACAATAGGAATCAATCCCAGGTGTTCAAAAAGTCGTCGGTCCGATCCAAAATCGGGTATTAGATAGACCGTTCCGGATGTAGCCATTAAACAGGATCCGACCGTCACACTTGTTTTTCAAAGTCAGGAAGGCATTTTTGGAATCATCAAAACAAGATCCGACCGTCACATTTTTTTTTCATAGTCATGAGAGAATTTTTGTAATTTTTTAAAATCAAATGCTTCTTATCTTACACGCCCTAAATGAGGGGGTACCCCTATATTGTCATTCATGGCGGCCAACAATACGAGCCTTGATCAACCATTCATGCTTTTCAAGTGCACACATGAGAACACTAATGAGGAGAGTTTTATACATGTCAAACTTGTTCTACATGTTCGATGTGGGGCATTTCGTCCCATTCACCCTATGGAGCGTTGGCTCTTTCGCTCTCTCTCTCTCTCATATATAATAAATGGCATTAGTTGTGGCTTTTTATCACTAGCGATAAAAGGCTAGGTGTAAAAGATTGGGACCTAGCTCTTTACCAAGAAATAAATGACATAATTATATATATATATTTTTATAATATGGTGCCCTTTAGCAAAAATTTAAGAATATTAATTTAAAAAGGAAGAAAATTATTAAAAAATAATAATTGGTTTATAGCGACCACCACTCCAATCCTTCACCAAAAAAATGTAAAATTACATATCTGAAAAAAAGAAAAGATTAATAGTATTAGGCTATTAGCTAATTGGGGTTAAAAAAATTAGTACTAGCTCATAGGATATTAAAAAATAAAAAATAATACTAATACTGGTTTATTGAACGTTAAAAAAAATACTACGTTATGAGATATTTTAAGATAAAAAAATAACACTAGCTCATACCAATTTGAAATTTATTTCAAGATGAATTTATTGAAGTTATTTATTAATTATCCCACATTGTAAAGATGAATTTCTTTATTTATTTTATTTGTTTTATTAAAATATGATTACAAATTTATGTTACTAAATTCTATAGTTCTATCAATGCTAATTATTATATATTAGATTTATTTATTTCATACCCTTGTTTTTTGAAGCACGTTTGTTATAATATTATGATTAATAATTATGCTAATTACAAGCATAATCAAATCTTATATTTTATTTACATTATAAATTATGCAATGTATTATTTTTTGTTATAATTATAAATTAGATTTTAAAATTAGATGATTTATAAGATAAATTTCAATTTTGTACAAACTAATAATTCTAATTTCATTGTATAATATTGTATTTAGTTAGATTTTAATAAATGTTTGATGAGAATTTTCATATAGGGAAAGAACATCTCAATATTCACATATTGATGCAAAAAACTAAAAGTTATTAATACACTACCCTTATTTTTTATTGGATTCCTAAAATTAACATTTATGATGACTTTTAATAATTTTTTTGAAATTTTTTTAAAAACGAATTTAACCGATTCAGTCGATTCCCAATTCGAAATACCGATTCATTAATCCGATCCATTTTTTAAACCATTGGATTGGATGCACAAACATTAACAAGCTGTCCATCATTTCCCCTCCTTCTCTTTCTTTGGTATATCATCACATGGAAAAAACTTCCAAGTTTCACTAAATGATTATTATTATTTTCTTGGTGTCACTAAGGGCTATTTTTTAAAAGAATTGACCTTTGATCACTCTCCCAATTGAATAACCAATGATTTTACTCATCATTAATTATTCAAGGCTTGAACAAAATATAAATACATATGTGTTGCTGACCAATCATTTTCCTTGGAGGATTTTTACGCATGAAAATTGGTGCACCTAACATGGAATCCTCCACCACAAACCACGTTGTGGATTTTATATATTAGTATGGGCCAAGCCAACAGCTAATATGGATTCATATGTGGTGAGTTGTTTGATGCTCTAAGACTTTAATACATTTAAGCACGTTCTCACTCTCAACCTTCTCCTACATAATAGAAACCGTACCTTATATTTTTTTTATTTTGTAGGGAAAGTATAAAAATTTTTGTTTTTTTTTAATCCTATAGTATCTTTCGGTGTCGGTTTAAGGAGTATATAATCTCCCGCATGGGAGCAGATTAGAAATTTGCTCCCTTAGATGAAAGAGCTGGATTTTTTTATGAGCACATATACTGTGCTCCCTCGGGAGCAAAATTTATTTCTACTACATCGGGCAAAAGACCTATTGGGGAGGACTATTTCAATATGATGTTTTGGGAACCACTTAAGAATTACTGGATGATTATTCTCAAAAGAAATTTTGAAATTTGACTTTTCTGACAGTTAGATCTTGCCGTCTAAAACTTGGATGGCCTCTATTCAATTTGATGACATTATTTTTTTCAAGTGCATAAGGGTACAATTAGCAATGGGTTGAAGAGGTTACAACTCAGAAATTTAGGGTCCTAAAATTAATTCTGATTGGCGTATTAGCCAAGGGAGTATATATAAATTCTACTCCCACATGAGTAGAATATCCTTCTGTCTTTTTTATTTGAGAATCCCTCTAAAAGATAATTATTATTATTTTTAAATAAAAAATAGATTTTAAATTTTTTAGCACTTGGATCTCACCTCCAACAATTGGACATTCTCTTTCCAATCTAGTGACATTATTTCTTTCAAATCTACAGAGTTCAGTTGGATCTTTGTATATTTTTTTTTGAAGTTAATGCTTAGAGGTTACATCCCTAAAATTTGAGGTCCAAAAAATAGAATAAATGGACAATATCCCTCTAGTAGTGACAAATCTCTTGAGAGTCATGCACAAGGCATCCTAAGAAGTGATATAATTGATACTTTCTGGGAGGTAAGAAAAAATTAAGAGGGCAAGCCGTTGGCAACCACCACCATTAGTGATCATTGAGTGCAAATTCCATAGTTTTTCTTCAGAGAACCCTGGTCACGTTGGAATTCGAGGACAACTGAAGTAAGTAGGTCATTGCTCATGGTGGTTGAATTGTTACCGGAAACCTTGTTGAGAAGGGTAGAAGCTAACACAATGAAAATCATTAAACAGTGTAGAGGCGACGAAAAGGTGCTTTGATACCTTGTCCAGCTCGTTAATAAGATAACTTTTAAGTATGGGATTCTATACTATAAGACCATTTATCTTTGTTACAAGGAGGTAATAGTTGCTCCTAGTTAAAATTAGATGTCTTGGGTTGTGTTATAGAGCTCAAGAAAATTCTTTTTTCTTTAACTTTGAGTCTAATCAATAACATATTCTCAATAACTACATGATTTTGAAAGCTAACAAACAATTGTGACGTTCTTGTATTACAAGTAGACGGTCTCTTTGCATACTTTTCCTTTAACTGTGGTGCATGACTTCTTAAGCATCCTTTTCCAAATTAGACCATTATAGATGACAATTCCATAAAGTAAGATGACAATCATCTGTAACCATCCATCAAGGATGTGGATGGTTAAGATGAGATGCCCCATGCCTGCATCAATGGGCCCAAGTGAAACCAAACGCAGCATTAAGCCCCAAAGGCCAAAAGATGCTGTCTAGACTTGTTTGGAACATTTCTGGTTCAGATCATAAACAGGAACAAAATTGCAGATCTTCCACCACCTCTCTCATTATTTCATAATATCCCCAACCTTATCTACCCCAAAAATTAATAAATATACATATCAAAAGCAATGGCTTCACCAGTATTCATAAAACATTTCCTGTGTAATTAATCACAAAATACACCGAATCCATCAGGGATAGAAGAAGGAAGCACTCAATCCCAGCCGGTCATATCTCGAAATCCAAACCGAACGATATTTGTCGAGTCTCATAATGCCCCCCCGCGAATGCTGTGACTAGAATCCATCATGTACCCAAGCAGATATGGCAATCATACATGTCGTCTGGGATCAGTGATTTTGAGCCTCCAGTGCCCATCAGAAAAGCCTGCCTTGCCTGCCTGCATCCTATCCCACTCCAAGTCTATCTTCCGCTGGTCGGTGAGCACGCAGAATCCCTGCAGCCCCTCTTCCATGGCATCGTGCACTCTCCACCACCTTCGATGCGCTACATTGCTTGCGTACACATGTTGGTCCTCCACATTCCAGTTACAGTCGTAGTCCCTGTAACAAAGCCAGGGCTTTAGCCCCAAATAATGGATCCCGTACAATTTCGGGGGTTCAGCCCCGAACAATTGTGTCTTCACAGTCACCTCTGCCGTCTTGTTCGACCAAAAGTTCTTTAAGAAGTTAACCCTGCGAGGCCATCGGTGCCACCACGTGAATACCTCATTCAGGAAACCTTGATCACCCCCATTATACGAAACAACCTCTTTCCGGAGGGACATTAGGGTCCTGAAGGTGCAATTCGAGGGCTCAATGGCCATGACCCCGGAATTGAATATGGATCCATCATTTCCAGTAGCTGACATTTGGGGATAGGCAAACAAGTGATCCATGTTCTTAAGGACTACCATATCTGCATCTACAAATATGATCTTGTCATAGTCAGTGAGTTTCCATAGTCTGAACTTGCTGTAGTTGTACTCGTTGTAGGCGTGTTTTTGGGCTCGGGGGTTCCGGATGCGCTTGATTTCACGCACCTGCCAGCCAGCCTTCCGGAGGCCCTCCCGCTTTTCTTCAGAGATCGACTTGTCGACCAGGATGATGAGGTTGCGCGTGGTGTTGGTTGCCAGGAGGCTCTGGGCAAGGGCGATCGCGCCGCATACGTATGCATCCGAAGAGTGGAGCACCGTGGCGTAGGCTTCTCTCTTTGGGCGTTTTTGGTGCTCAGCCCTGCTCAATTCGTACACCTCGTTGCTCCCTGCATGGCACCCAAACACTCAATCAAGATACCAACCTTCATTTTCTTCAGTTTTTTTGGTTTATCAACATGCCAATAATGTATTTTCCTCCAACTATGTTTATGGATTGCATATTAAGATTGTATATGGTCGTTATATGGAAGTTACAATCACTCCTAGTCATTAGAGGTCGAATTGATGTGGGATGAAGTTTGAGAAATTTTTTTTTTTTTAACATTAAGTCTAGTCAATAACACACTTACAATCACCCGATTTAAAATCAGACATACAAAAATGACCGGGACCTCTTTGTACAAAAAGCATTATTTGGTGGTGCTTGTTGCGGTCTTTGTCCATATGAGTAGTGGGTACATACAACAATCATAATACAAATAAAATTAAAAAAACTAAAAAAAAAATCATAATACAAATCAACAAAAAATCAGTGGTTTGTATAAATTTTTGAAGTTTTTTATTTCTTTGAAATGTTTAAACTTATCATATTCTCTACCAACTTGACCCCAAGAGTAACTTAGACGTTAGATCCAACTAACCCATTGTTTTATCCTTACAATAAAATTGTCTTCTCTTTTGTCTAACAAAACAACAGGTCTATAGAATGTTGAATTGGTGCCCCACATTATTTTATTGGGAAAAGAGTAGGGTCAGTGTCCTTATAAAACGATGGAAAGTGCCTATTTCGTTGCCATTTCATTGTCACAACGACTACCGCGTCTCATTCCCTTCAAACACGCTCCTCTCTCTCTCTCTCTCTCTCATGTAGAAAATGAAAAGTTTATATAGAGCGAGGCTCTAAACAATCAAATTAGAGCTTATCTAAAAAATTTCAATAGAACAGGTTGTTTTTTATGTCCAAATATCTTCAAATTGATCATCTCGACATCAAGATGTATGGACAAGCGAAAAAAATGGATTTCAAGTTTTGGAAATAGTGTATTTTGTAACGAATTTTTGGACAGTTAATTTTCAAGATTTTTAAGTTTTCATAGATCTGTCGATCTACACTATTTTTATAGCTTTAAACTATATAAATAACGATGAAAATATATTTTAAGACTATCACAAAGTTTTCAAGTATTGAAACCATATTTCTCGAATACTATTTGAAGGTAGGCTCTAATTTGATTATTTAGAGCCTAGGCTCTATACAAACTACACTCTATAAAAAATGCCCTTAACAACCAGAGCAATTTTCTAAGGCTCTCCTAGTGTAGGAAAGCACTATGCGGCCCCGAATTGGCCTTGGGCCGGGCCTAGTCCTGGTAAGCTGGCCTGAGTTGGGCAAGTCCTGGTCAGGTTAAAAAATGTTAAAAAATAAAAATTTCAAAAAAAAAATAAAAATAAGTTTAAAGTAAAATTATCAAATGTCTAAATGGGGTTAAAAAGGTGTGAGAAAATCAATTTTGAAAAAAATCATTTTGTGACCGGGGCTATTTTACAAATAATCTAAAAATAAGAGCAAATGTAAAAATAAGTATTTATGGCAAAAAAAAAAACTCATCAATCTTTGTCAAAATGATCGAAAGCATATAAAAACATAAGGAAAAAGTTTAGATAAGGTTGCAATCTTAAAATGTAGAATTACATATGCGCCTCAAAAATCCATCGAAAAATGTTGTTTTAATGTTGAAAAGCAGTATAATTGATTATCTCGACATCGAGATGTAGGAATATGAAAAGAAAAGATTGAGTACCAAAATAGTACATCTTGCAACACATTATCTAGACCCCCCATTTTCAATATTTTTATATGTTATCTACTTGATTTTACCCATTTTTGAAATTTAAAATTTTATAATTAAATATAAAAATAGTTTTTAAAATAATCCTAATGCCCTTTTACACAAACATTACGTATTATGATAAAATTTGCAGGTGCACTTTAATTGGATCGTTTAAGGTTGAAATACCCAAAACATATTACAAATAAAATTCTTATGTTTTAGATTTTCTTATAATTTTTTTAAATTTCATTTTGATATCCCCGAGTTGGACTACCTAACTTGAAGATACTGAGGCTGAAGATACTGAGGCTGGCCATGGTCACGAGTTCAAGTTAATTAGGGGAGTCCGAGTTGGCTCGCCCAAGAAATAAAAAACTGCCTTATATATATACAATGAGTATTGCACTTCCCGGGTACACAGACCAAACATCCACCCTTCATCATCATCATCATCGGATAGTAGAGATGAGAGCTGCTGTTCAACTGACATTGAGCAATGGACGCAAAGCAGAACAAAAAGTCCAGTCTGTGTACCCTCAATCCAATTCATAACCAATACTCCTGAACGGTCCGATGGGAAAATTTAGTAATTTCAACAAAATTCAGATGGCCGGGAGACCCTCCCTCACCTTCTTTCCACAGTGGTAGGGCCAACCTACATGAGCCCACGGGCAGCGCCAGCTTCTGCCGCAGCCGCGCCACCTCTGCCTCGTAGACCCACCCCTCCCCCACCCGATTCACCATGTCGTCGCACCTGAACAACTCCAGCATTGGCCGGCACTCGCTTGCAAGGAGCACCACCCTCACCTTTTTCTTGCTGCTCCGTGCCGCCACCTTTGCTGCCACCAGGTGCACCTGAAGCCGGAATACGTCCCTCGCCCAACCCACCTCCGGGAAACTGTTCACCCATGAAAAAAATAAGGTTTTCAGGATTTGTATTCTAAATATAAGCAAAACAACTCATACCAGACATTGAATTTAGTTTAATTAAGAATTAAAAACTGAATTTGAATTTGTGAACAAATACCTGCATGGCAGCCTGGCAACCACTGCATCAAATTCCGGCAGCCTGGAAGAATCCGGCATTGGAATCTCGGGGCATGACGGCCCATCATTCTCCTCCTCCTCATCGATCCACTCGGGGAATAGGTCCGTCCACTCGAGCTGCGATGAGACCCTTTCGAACTTGATTTCCACCGCTTCCCTCGCACTCTTGGTGAATCTCACTCTCTCTTTAGAATTCAGGTTCACCATTGCCACTCGGATGCCGCGAACTAGTTTTGCAACATCACCTCTGTCCTCTCGGAAACCCAACTTGCTCTTGGCTGGGAAATGGGTCTCCCTGATGGCTTTCATCGCACCTCCGTTGCCATCTTCCGCCTGCAATTCAACAGGAGATCAGATGCACCAGGAAAAGGAAAACACAGGTCTCCAATTCTAACAATCTGATATGCACTTACAGCATGTGCATGGCGTTATTACCTTTATATGAGTATCTGAATAAACACAGGTGGTGACCTGATGCTTTGAATCATGGTTTCCTACCTTCCCATCTTCTCTCTGAAAATTCACGATGTTTTTACATATATTACAATGAACACAGAAAGACTCTCTCTTTCTCTCTCTACACACAATTTCAGAAGTTGGACACTAATTTTAGAAGATGGGTTTTTCTCAAAACACACAATTTCAAAACTTGGACACTAATTTCAGAAGTTGGGTTTCTAAATGATTTGGGGTTTTGATAGAGAGAATGAGAAGAAAAGTGTTCGATGAACTGTGGGCACAGTACTCACCTTACCTTGAATTTAAGACAATCAGGCAATGGTGGTCGAAGCATTAGGGTTCCATTCTGGAGGTACACAGAGGAGGAGGTGGGCCAGAAAAAAAGAGTGGCGTAAACCACCAGGAAGAGAGCCAGAACCACCAGGTTGATCCTTATTACCACACCCTTCGAGCCCACGGCCTTCAACATTCTTGCTTGCTCTAGAGAGAGAGTTGTAGAGAGAGAGGAGGCAAGCCCAAGAGGGAGAAGAATGAATTCAGGACATTTATATGCAAGTTGAAAAAGAAATAGAACCAAGGATTTCCTTATTTTATGTCTGTTTTTGGTAGTTGGTTGGCGTAAAAGTAAATAAGGAAATTCATCTTCCATGCCCTCCACGTTGCCTTTCTTCCAGAGATTGGGTTCTCTGGTTCGGTTAGAGAGAGAGAGAGAGAGGTTGTCCGGCCCATGTAGGGGTTTTTATGGTAGTTTACTATGGAAGGGTTTAGTGTGCAAGGAAAATAGTCAAAAGGGTGCGGTTCTAAACAATCAAAATACGGCGTACCTTCAAATAGTATCGAAAAATATGGCTGAAATCTTTGTGATAGCTTTAAAATATATTTTTATCTCTAATTATAAAATTTAAAGGTAAAAAAATACTATCGATCAGATATATGAAAATTTGAAAATCTAAAACATTGACAGGCTAAAAGTACATTACAAGATGCATTATTTTTAAAACTTGAAACTCCCCCCCCGCCCTCCCTCACNACACTCCTCTCTCACTCTCACTCGTACTACTCTAACGATC